CTGGGGTTGAAAGACAAATCTTTTTACATCAAAATCGTAATTTGAAAGTGTTGCAGTTTTAATTACAGCCTACATTATCAACAACATTATCTTATGTAGAAAGTCCACCATCTTTTCATCATCTCTGCTTAAGTCAACCACTGAGATGTTAATAAAGTCATTCAGAGTAGTTTAATATAAAATAGTTCATTGCAAAGAAACTTTCCTATTTAGATTTCTTTACAGTGGTGGTGATAAGAACCAGGGATCACAATGTCTACAACAAATAGCTATTTTACTTACGGTCCAAAACCAAACATGAACCTACATTTGTCATCTTAGTTTTCATATGTAATGTTGATGATGGTAAAATAGATGGTAAAAAAAAAAAAAGGTTTCTTCATAGACTGTTTTGCCTTACAACACCCTGCATGCACCTCTCCACCATGAATGGAGTTCAAAAATACATTTTAGGCCAAAACTGTATCTCAAAAGCATCATAAAACAATGTCTCAGACATCAGGCAGTGGTTTTTTTTAACCATTTCATGTAATCGTGTTCTGTGAGGGAGCTTTTAGAGGTGTTAATCACTTCAAATGTCTGGTTCCCATCACCACCACTGTGAACAATTCTGACTTGGTAAGTTTTTCTACAACTTTTCACATCAGAACACTCTGAATGACTTCATTTAACTTTACATTTAATTATGCAGACATTTTGCTAAATTGGTGGAATTCCCCAATTTGGGAAATTTAACCAAATAACACAGTGCTTGTGAACTGCCTTTGGTTGAATCAGACCAATAAGAAGCAACCAAACATCCACGCTCTGTGTACAACATAACAACAACTAACAGTCTGGCATATTACAGTCAGTTCAAGCTTGAAGGCAGAAAATAGGAATATGCTAATGTTTTTGAAGAAAGAAACAGGCCTTGACCTTAATTTATAGAAAATAATCACAGTCATAATAGCGGTCAAAAAAATCACATTTAGATATCTTCTCCAAACCATTCAGCCTTACTCCACCACCATCATCAAAACACCAACTGAGGGGATATCTTTGGGAAGAATGAAGTTCCGCCCCTCTAGTACAGTTCCGGAAACTTGCAGAATCTACGCCAAGGCACACTGAAGCTGTTCTCGCAGCTTGTGTTGGCCCAACATCCAACCCTGTGCTCCCACCACATGGAAACAGAGTGCCTGTTATTTTTTGCGCACAAAGCTGACCACTATTAGGATACTGTCAGCTGCTGTTTGATTGGCTAGCACATCCAGGCATACACATTTTCCTGCAATGTTTATCATTCTGACAGGAAAGAAAGTTACATTTTTTTGCAGCTAAATTCTAGTAAACAATAACTAACAGGTGCCTATACTGGACACTGTGATGAAAAATCTTGCCATTTATAACAAGTTATATATTTGTGTGATTTTCATAATTGCCTCCCAATTCACAACACGCCAAAGCAGCGGGCTGAGATTACTCATTTGGCATGTCACACAAACGGCTTCTTCCTGAGAAGGTAGGCGGTTCATGGCCACGTTATGCGGGGAAAAGTACCAGACTAGAGACTACATCTTTGCTAACAACCACTGATTCCAACACCATATTGCTCTACCAAGACACAAACATCATTCTACAGACTGTCTGACACAGTAAATGCCCCCTTTGTGAATATGAGCACCTGCCCCTGAAGAGCTATCTGCACATCACTGCCAGCAAGTTCTACCTTCTTGTATAAACAGGACACTAAGATGTCAGGCAGATTGAATTCAGCATATTAAAACATCTTGCCTCAGTCTTAGTATGGTGTGCTCTCAGAGAAATGGAAAAAAGAACCAGTCATGGTAGCTGTGCTGTGACGTCATGATGGGAGTTCTTTGTTAGGAAGTGGATCAGTAAATAATTAACATATCTGAGTCACAGCCTGAAACTTCTCTTTCCATCACTTTTTCTTTTTTTATCTCTCCTACTTCACATCACTCATCTTTTCTTTCTCTCATTTCTGAGCTTTTAGAAACAGAAGGAACAAGTGAGACGAAGGGTGAGAACAACAACTCGGACAAAAGAGAAAGATGGAAAGAAAGAGTGAGTGAATGTGGGTTTGGTCTGGTTCTTAACACATTATCTATGAATGAGTTAAGAAATCTGATACTTGAAGACAGAAATCCCCATTAATTATTCATTCTTGGAAGGAGCTGGTATCACCATCGACAGCAAATGAATGTAATTATTTTATATTATTTCGCACTCATGGCTCTTTAAAACAAGCGAAATTCTGCAGAAAGTGTGGATTCTAGTGCAAGTGTCGCTTCCTTAATACATGTGAATTTTTCTGCCATAATTTTAAAGTAATTAAAAACACAAGCACTGAAAACCCGTCTCACTCTGACTGGACCTCACGTGATGCTCGCTGTCATGGTAACGTTTACACTTCTCTAACGGAGATTTTTCATCAGATTGCTGAGTAGAGTGAGCATATTAACACCTCAGTCTTAATCTGCAATCGGAATGTATTCAATCGGATTGGCAAAAATCTTTGCATGTCAACAAAGCCAATGATATTTATTACCTGAAAAGTTATGATGTATATAACCTTGTTTTGAAAACATGCTTTACATTTGACGTTGAAACACAAAGAAAACGTCAGAAGTGGAAACTACAACCTGTCAGAACAGAATGTAAAGCCAAAGTAAATTAAGGACATGAATTTCGACAGAATTTGATATTCAAGTGTCTACATTCATGAACAGATATGCAGTTAACCAGACAGCACTTAAGTGTTACATAACATTCTGTAAATATGAGAAAAACATGTTTTACTGTCTTTCAGTGATGAAATGTAACAAATAACTAAATAATGATTTCAATATTCTTGTGCTTAAGTGCTTGAGTACCCATGTACATCTTTGGTGTAAATGTAATTCATTCTGTAACTATATAATTAACTGTGGAATAATCTGCTCCTCTAAGGGTTAATAATCATTAGAGTCTACAATGGAAACATTAGTGTTGATCTCAGCCTGTCCTACTGCCATCACCAGCAGAGACACCACTGTGAGAATCAGGTAACAAGTGGCATCAAATAACTTTACAAACACAATGATACATCACTGTGTGTGTGTTTGTGTGTGTGTGTGTGTGTGTGTTTGTGTGCGTGTCTCATTTTACAGAGCCTAGAGCACCCTTTGCATCTTTAATAGAAGCAGAAATCAGTTCAGAAATCATTTATACTCGCTGTGACCGGACTAATAGACCGAGGTAAGGATGTGAGTGGATTTAGCAATCAAAACACACAGACACACTCAATAGAGATGTCCTCACATACTCGAGTACTTGGTTAACCATTCAAGTTGCCAGTAGCTGAACACTCAAAATCACTATTCAGGTATTCGTTGTGCTGCACCATGGAATGTCAAATATGCAGAAAATGTACAAAAATATACAGACCAACTACTTAGTGAAATGTAAATGTTTTAACAGGGCTGTGAAGCGCAACTGTTTTGCGTGTGTTTGTGATTAAGTGAGTATTATATATTGTACTTTGCTACTACGCACTAGATGAACTATTTTTCTGTTCTCAGCGTCACTCTGACAAACTAACAAATTAGCAAGTTATCCACTGCAGAGAAAAACCTTGTGTACGAGCCCACTAGTTATGTGTTAAACTAATATGTTCAACTCAACAAATAAATAGACATTATGCAACAACTTGCAGCAAAGTGTCATGTTCAAGTTGTTCCCTGTAGAGCATGTGTTAACTTATTTTTACTTATAAAATCAAAAAATAATCTAATTGGGGTGTTCAAATTTTTGCATGTGCAATTTCTCTCTCTCTCTTCCTAGCTCTTTCGCTCTCAATCCTTTAAGAACGATACATAAATAGACAGACAGATGGAGAGGCAGGTGGGCAGACGGACTGACAGACAGATAGATAAATATATAAATAGATAGCGAGATAAATATTTGAACAGATAGACAGTAAGACAGATAGATGACTGTGTGTAGATATGGGTTTGCATTGCTCTGGCAGCGAGTCGGGGCAGCCACTTACAAAATTGCTAACAGCCTTCTTAATTCCTGAAATGCTGCTAGTTTCACAGAGCTCGTATCAGCAAACCTCACCCCGAATTCTAATGCTAATGTGTTGTGCTAGTAATGTGCACTAACACATTACGTTAATACAAAATGACATTGACATTAATGTGTCTTGCTAATGTCAGGAGCAATTTAGTACTCTTCATTTATCAGAATCAGCATTCACAGGTGTTTTCAATCACAATCTGTCTATTTTTACCTGAAGTTATCTGAGAATGTCTCCAACTGACTGCTGGTTGAAGACTCAGAACACATTATCATCCAGTGTTGTGTCCACAGACAAAATTAACCAATCAAAATTGTTTATATGTATTATAAGACACTGATTAATTAAACTGTCCTCTGTGAAACTAATTGGAGTTGTTTTCTTCTCCATGACTTGCAAGCTGTTTAGGAATTTTAAAAAAACATAAAAGTGGGTAAGTAATAATTTCAAGCCAATTTTCTGGAAAGAGACAGTACATGGCATACTAGAGTACAGTTTACTAGCTGATTAAGTAATTTAAGACAGCCTCCTCAAGCGCAGCGACCAAATTATTTCCCTTGGTCATTTCTTAATAATGAAATATTTAAAATGCACTTTAAAATGCACAAAAAAACTTCACTGAGCTGCTGGATACTGATTTATCCTGAGTGTGTGTGTGTGAGGGACTAGTTCTAAGACTTTCATAACATGCTGTTGAAGCAGTCTGTAAGAGAGTGTGTGAGTGTGTGTGTGTGTGTGCGCGCATTATGGATGTGCATTCTGACTAATTTTGATATCTGAGTTAATGGACAGATATCTAGTTAATAAACAGATGTCTGAGAGGTCTATGTATTGTGTGTGTGTGTGTGTGTGTGTATGTATGTGTGTGAGTGTTTGGACAAACACCTCTGTTGCTCCTGGTAGGACAAAGTGGTGGTGATGGTGTGTATGTTACCTCCGTTGCTGATGGCAGTGATGCCTCTGTGGAAATCCTCAAAGCTGATGACACCCAGGCCGCTTGGGTCCAGAAACCGCGTCAGATCCTTTACCTGAAACAAACACACAAACACACACACATTTTTAAAATCACAAATCACATGTGATAAATAACATAACCCCACACAACAGTTTCAGGAGAAACTATTACATCACACACACACACACACACATACAGGCAAAACCCATGCTGCAAAACACATTGAGTGTAATGTAGCATGAAGCCACGTGAGAGCAGACATTAAAGCTGAGCCTCTTCGCTCTCTGTGGATTAAATTTGGTCTGCTTCAAAGACGGCTAATGCATGAGCATGTGTGAGTGTGTGTTTGTATGAGATGTCTGAACATTTAGTTGGTGCTAAGTACAGCAAAAAAAGCACAAAGAGACTGAGTTTCTTAAAGTGCTTATCTGTTGTCCCTGCAGGGCCACTGCAGAGCCATTACCCCTCCTCAGGACAAAATGTCCTCTCTCTCTCACACACACACACACACACACACACACACACACACACACACACATCATAGAGAGAAATCCAAAGACAAAGTTCATGTTATTAAATATCATTTCTTTTATCCTTACAGTCTTCATTTCGTATACATACACAGCACATGTGAGCACTCACTGTGTGCAAAAATTTGGAATTATTTTTGATAATATAAAACCAATCTAGTTGCAGAATAGTGCATAATTCTTTGTCCCCAGAAAACCATATTCAATTTATGTTTCCATTATGCTAAACACAATATTTATACTCAATATTTATTTATACTTTACAATAAAAAACTTCAGAAATTGTTGGTCAGTGGTTAAAGTCCCTTTTTATTTTTTTTGTCATGAAAAAAACACACTTGCAGCTAAAAGGAAATCACACAAGTTTCCCAGTCTAGTTTTGGAAAACTAGTAAACTAAAAAGTTTTTGTATATTTTAACTACTACGGAAATAGTATTATTCAGTACACTACATCCTTTCTTTTCTTTTTTTAAATGTGTGTCTGATATGTACCATCACATGTTAAGCTATTATAAAATTAATATCCAGGATTCATCATATTTCAAAAGTGCAGATCAAACCTAACGGCTAATAACTTGACAAAATAATGAATGTAAACTGATGATTATAGTATATCATTTTATGAAGATTATAGCATCTCAGAACACCCTCTGGTGAATGGATTGTAAAATTTAATTCCATATTCTATCAGTTATTAGTCTAAATCAAATTTAAAAATGTTAATATGGCAAGTGATTCCAAACTTCTGGTCACTAGTGTACGTCTGATCATGACTCACATGTGATAATATATCCAGCATGACCCACACAGATTCATCTGAAGTAGTGACATAACATATACCCAAATATCCACACACACACACACACACACACACACAGAGTTAACACGCCACTCTACACTGAGCAGATACAATCAGTTAGGCCACACAGCCTGTAGCCTAGCAACAGGAGATCTGGTTTCCAGGGAGACAGAGTGGGGTTTGAGAGTCAAGACTCTGCGCGCACACACACACACACACACACACACACACACACACACACACACACACACACAAAAGCCCACGGAATGCAGAAGACGGAATGTTTTGGGAGGGGAGGTCTGCAGCAATGCTGCGAACATGTTTGTGGTGTTTGGAGGTGGAAAAGTTTCAGCCTCCGGAGAGAGAAGTGAGAGACGCTTAATAAAGTGACGGGGGAGACGGAGTAGAGCGCTGTTGCAAAACATGCGCACACACACACACACACACACACACACACACACACACACAGGAAAAACAATATGTACAAGCACCCATTAAAGCACACAGGTACAAAACAACACACAAAGAGGTGGGCTCTAGGGGTGGGCAATATGACAATATTTATCGTTATCATTATAAATTTGGACCCAGTAGGCTTTTTGAGCACATCATGATATCGTCAATACTTTAAGAATGCTGACTAACTGCATGTGTCATTACATACAGAGTATAATTAGTCCAGTTTAACTTATTATTATTATATTATTATTATTTAACTTATTATTATTTTTTATATGTGGCGCCACTTGTTCTTTTTCTCTCTGTTTCAATTTATTAAACAACAGAAAAAACCTAAATATCATGATTAAGGACGCATCAACTGGAAAATACATGAAAAACTAAATTTAGGACACACCGAGCCAACAACTAAAACCAAAGTTGACAAATCTGATGTTGACTTTAAGGTTCAACAGTCTCTTCCTCCGAGGCTTTTCAGCCATGCAAATGAACACATGAGGAGGAAAGAAATATTGTGTGTGACATTTAAGAGGTGAGTGGAGAGTGGGTGTGTGGGAGCTAAAAGGTGAGGGGGCTCTGTGAGTGCAAGAGTGTTATGAGTGTTTCCTGTGTTGGCGGGAGGGCGTTGCAAGTACAGACCACTACCACAGAAAGAATGAAACACAATGAAAAAGCATGTGAAAAAGAAAGCATGGCAGAGTTATACCTCCTTTGCATGGACAGATTTAAAAAAAGGTACAGTTCATTGCTCATATGAAACATAAGGCTACAAATATTTGGGGTGAGAAAAATAACCAATTCTTAGACCCGCTGTGATTCTACCTTGAAAGATTCTGAATCGATTCACAAGACGTCCAGATCTATTTTTTTCTATAGGCTCTGGGTTTTCTCTACTGTAAGGTAAACTCACGTGCGCCCAGAGACATTATAAAGCAGGACAATTTGGCAAAGCCCGGCTTGAGGAGGAAAAAACGCAGGATCTCATTAATGCATGCATTTTGCAGACACAACCTGTTCATATTTTCATGTCTATGAATAAAAGGTACAAAACAATAGTAAACATGACCCTGCCTAGGATCATGGCTTTGTATAACAGACACCTTAGCAAACTGCTAACAGGCTAATTCAGTAATATTCTGAATTAGGTTTTAAGCTTAAGAATTTGCTGAAGGGATGTATGTAAAACTGCAACACACCAGAATGTCTGTTACAAGCTTTAAATGTCCACATATAGGCTAGAATTGATGTCCCCTAACAAAAAGCTGTATATTAACCATTACATCTGTTTTTTGGATTATCAGTTTTTTCTATTTTATTCTGTACAACCTTTTAAAGTAAAAAGACAAACTATGCTTTGTTTACATTTTAGTGACCCTTTTATTTTAATACAGGGCATCAATCAACCTTCTATGGGGAAAAATCAACACTATGACGTGGTATACAACATGTGACAGAGAGCAAAAAGATCAAACAAAAATGCAGCTCCGTTTGAACTTTAAAGTATCGTTAAAACCGCGGTCGATTACCGCGGTGTGAAAACTCGGAGATTCGGAGATATTTCAGCCTTCTAAGAAGACCAAGTCTGACGTTTGGTCATATTTTGGGTTTTATAAGGATGCAGAAGGAAAGTTAATTGAAGATGTCCACCCTGTCTGCAGAACAGACCGAAAGAAAATAGCGGCGAAAGGGGGCAACACATCAAACTTTACGAGTCATTTCGCGACCACCACCCGCTACTTTTTAGAGAATGCAAGGTTAACTTTAACAGAGAAGTCTGTGGACTTCGAAATAGAAGAAATGTCACGGTTTGTGTGGTTTAACCTATGCTTATGGTTCGTTAATCATATAAAATGAAGCTTTTAGCGTCAAAAAAAGAAAAACAATCGGTGAATCAACTGTGAATCGAAACTAAAGCTTTTAACACATTTCTGTGGGGCAGAGTCTCCAAAATGAGCTCTGAGTTAACAGTCACACGAGCTCCTGAACGAGACGCTGCAGAGGTTCAATCTGCACAGCTCCCCTTTCTCGCTTGCAGTGTTTACTTTCTGAGAATAACACCGTCTCAAATCACTCAGTGTCCCCTACATAGTGCGCTACTGTTCATACAAACACGATCATCATTAACAAGCAGTTGAGTTTTAAATAGGGACTTTGTAGCCTGTTGTTAATGTTGATTATAGATGACTTAGTCAAACGTTTCACGCACTCTTTGGGTGAAGGATTTGCTATTTCATGATCTATGAAGTGCACTACATAGGGAAGATAGTGTGCTTTGAGACGGGACCTCGCGCGAGTAAACGCTGTGTGCTGATTTTAGGAAAAGCAGAGTTTCAGAGATTAAACTGTAGGAGTGTTTCTGCCACAGCTCAGATGCATGTTAATTTTAAATTATGTTTTAGTTTTAAAATGCTTTTAGAGAAGCAGCTCCACAGGTGAAGACACACTTGTGTGAGTTCTACACTGTCTGCAGCTCACAGCGCGGTCACGCAATTCCTCTGTGATTTTGGCTGTTTTTCCTGGCGCACTGGATTGATTAGGGGTTCAGCGCCACAACGGCACAATAATGCTGCAGTTGCAGTTCGGACAGAAATCCCCCGAGTGCAGCACTTCTTAGAAGTAGTAATTTTCCATTAAGGCCCACCTCAGAGTTGGTCCAGATTTAATTCTCTATGCATGGAAATCCCTAGTTATTGTAATTAATGATAATAATAATAAGAAGAAGAAGAAGAAGAAGAAGAAAAAGAATAATAACAGTAATAATAATAATAATAATAATAACTGTAATAATAATACGTTTGCTATTCTCTTGTTTACAGAGTATTACAAGTATTGTAAGTAATACAAAAGTAATACTAAAAATGTATTGACCTTATTTTTTAATGTTTATGCAAACAAAAAGTGCATATTGCTGCCAAATCTATTTGTGTTAATATAAAAGTTGGTGAAATGAGTTTCAGTTTGTGTATCAGTATTTATTTTTTTATTTATTTTACTTTTCAAAACATTTGAACAATATCGCGATAATACCGATAATCGTGAGAATTTTGGTCATGATAATCGTGATATGAAATTTTAATATCGTTTCATCTCTAATATATATATATATAGTCTTAGATGACTTAAGAAGTTTGCAGAGTGTGGGCTACATCCAAATTCCAAGTTAAGACTACTTTTTATACAGTTAAAAGAATCATAAGGTAGGCAACAGAAATCAAACACTGTGATTCACTAAGAATATATCGCTGCTGTTGGAAGAAAACTTCGTATCTCCATTTTTGTCGTTT